AAATAAAGAGTGTTCTGGGCCAAAAATAGGGCTGAGAAAGGAGAATGTGAATAAATAGCACCAAAAAGTCATTATTTACTCAAACTGTCAAATGGCTGAAGAACTTAAGAAAAGTTTTGATCTGTGTCCCATCACTTGTTAGTCGGTCTGACTAGGCCCTGGAGGGAGGCGATGTCACTTTCCTGACAAATGCGTAACAGAAACAAGTGTGTGTGCAGAGGCTGCTGAAGGAAAGGTGAGTACCACTGGGGCTCCCTCCCCTCCCCTGTCATTAGCAAGCTGGTTAAGACTGAGGACTCCTGGGTGCTGTATGTAATGGGCATTTCCCCACGGACATCGTTCTACCGTGGGTCCTGTAACAGAATGGGTGCAGATCTCACTAGAGTGGGACAGAGCAGTACTCCTGCGGGGGCTTCCATGGCAAGTGGCTGTGCTTAGGCTGACGACATACCACAAATCTGAGCCAGGCGCTGCCTCTCACGACAGAGCAGCTGGCCCCTTGGGTCAGAGCCAGGCATCCAGAACACATCAGCCTTCGCCGACCACCTCCTCCTGCACTTCACCCAGTGTTACCTGCTGTATCTCTCACCCCATCACCACCACCGCAACTCAAGGCCATGGCCATCCTTTGCGGGGATCACTGTGGCTCCTACGGGTCTGAGTCTAAGCTTGCGCCTCGCTCTCTACTGAAAACCTTTCGAGCTCCTCCACTATCACTTGACAAGGTCCAAGTTCTTACACAGGGAAGGAAGGCTCTGGAACTTACCACCACTTCCTCTGCTACCTTGCCTCTCTTTCCTCTCACTCTTCACCCCGGCCACACCAACACTGACACCGTGTCTGCAGGACTCTGCGGATAGGCCCCTCGCCTGGAACGTGCCTCGACTCTTCCCAACTTCCCATCCCGGTCCTCTGACTTGACAGAGTCTATTCGGTTGTTAAATATAGTTTCCTCCAGGGAGCCAGTGACCCAAGGAGGGGAAAAGGGATCAAAAGAAACGAGCTCATTTGATGAGATGGTAGGCGATTTCGGTCACTCTTCTTGTGATGGGGCTATCTGGGCCGTCAAGTCTAGGAACACTGGCTGGGTAGGTGTGTCCTCACGTTAAACAACGGCTAACCATTCATTCGCCCACAGCTGTACCACTTTCCAGTACAGTTCCTAGACAACAGTTTGTTTTTATTAAACAACTACCTATACCATGCTGGGCATTTTTTAGATAGTATCCTGTTTAATTTTGTTACAATGTGTTGGATACTTATTTTTGTCCCCACTTTGGCAGAAGAAGACATTAGGTACCAGCCCAGGATCTTGCAGCCAATCAAGGAAGGCAGAGAATGAAACTCCTCTCTCCGGAGGTGGGCCCGCGCTTTTACACATCAGGCCCCATGGCCTGCCACCAACTAGATGGGCATCTGTCCAACCAGGTGGCTTCTGAGTGATGCTTGTATGTGTTGAATTATGACCCCTGCTCCCGTCCAAAAAAGAAATGCATGTTGAAGTCCTAAACCCCTAGTACCTCAGACTGTGATGTTTGAAGTAGGGTCACTGCAGATGTAAGCAGCTCAGATGAGGTCATGCTCGTGTCCCAGGAAGAGAACAGACACAGCCGAACAGGAGAGAAGGCCACGTTGACAACAGAGGCACAGACTCAAGTTCTGCCCCTGCGAGCCAGGAATAGCAAGGACTTCCGGCAACCACCCGAAGCCAGGAAAAGGCAAGGAAGGATTCTCCCCGACAGGTTTCAGAGGGAGCATGGGCCTGCCAACACCTTGATTTCACACTTGTAGCCTCCCGAACTGTGAGACAATAAATTTCTGCTGTTTTAAGCCACCCAGTCTGTGATACGTTGTTACAGAAGCCTTAATAAACAAATACAGTGACTCATTCTGGTTTCCTTCCCCGGGGATTACTTTTTATCACAAGCTTAGGTACTGCAGATAATCAACTCACCAGCTTTAAACCCGGTGAGCAGCTCCTCCAGCATGAGCCAGCCCAGCCCGACAGGTCTCCCTCACAGGCTATTCATCCACCTTATTCTGGGACAAGAGGAAGACAAACCTGCAAACCCAAACAAAGGATAGCCCATCATCGTTTTACCTGGGGAGAAAATCTACCTGTTTATCAACCAGAGAGGGAAGAAATGTAGTTTCCTTAAAAAGGCTCATCCAGCTGGAAAGCATCAGGGGTATGTGTGCCAAGAGCTGCCAGAGGCCCCTGCTGCCGAGGAGGGCCACGCAAAAGGGACAAGAGGAGTGCTGCCACAGACCAGAGACTGGCCCACAAGACTAGGGGCCAAGTAGGGGCCTTTTGTTCAGCCACCTTCCTTGACTGGTAAGCTCAGCCCAGGAAGGCTCCCTGCAACAGATGAGACTGTTCATTTGAGGCAGGTTTATCCACGACCACCTGTCAGACATCACAGGCCACGAGGGGGAAACTGCTGGCACCAAAGGCATGCTAAGATGAACTAGCTTTATTCTGTAGTTCAAGAATTAGCCACGCCCATTTATATAGGCTGATGCCATGCCCCACTTCTCAGAGCTAGAGCAATGCCAGCAGCACTGCTCGGGCTTCCAGCAGCTCATATTCTGAAATATTCTGCTTTCATGGTGCCCGATGGCCAAAAATTAGAGTCCAGAAGATTCAAACACAATAGTGGGGCCTCCCTTGCCATCAAGAGGTGCTCATCCATTCAGGGTGTGTGGAGTGCCAAGCCCTCTCCATCACCCTGCGTGCCCAGAAGGAGCGGGCAGTAGTGGGGCAGGGAAGAGGGGGTATGATTGGCTCAAAACAGTGGCTTCATGCTCTTGCCCTCCACCATACCCCGCACACGCCCTACCCCAGAGGCCCCTGCTCTCAAGTTCCTGGCAATGAACAGTGCGCGGCAACCACAACTCCATTTGGCTTGAGCAGAGGTGCACCCAGCCTCCCTCCAGCCTGTCACTTCCCTGCTGTATTTCCTTTCTGCACGCAGTTGCAACAATCAGTCCCGAGCTCTTGTCTTATTTGACATCTCAATAGCATCTGACACAGTTAATCAACTCCCACCTCCTTCAAATATTTTCCTTCCTAGGTTCTGAAACATCACACTTAAGGGTTGTCTTTCCACCTAGCGCCTGCTCCTCCTTAGTCTCCTCTGGCAGTCCTCCTCCTCTCCCTGATCTCTGGTCAATCTTCAGACCTTCTCTTCCCACTGTACTTACTCCGCAGGGCTCTCCTACTGTCTCTGCCTAAGTACTATCTACACTGAAATTTCTGTTTACTGCACAAGTTCTAACCTTTTCCTGAAACCCCAAACTGACTTAATCACTTGGGTATTTTGTTATTTTGCTGTGAAACAAACTGTCCCCAAACTTAGTTTAAAATAAAAACATTACCTCACCCCAATTTCTGAGGGTCCGCAATCCAGGAGCAGTGCAGCTGGGTACTTCCGGCTTGGGTGCCTCAGGAGGCTGCAGTCTTCTGAGACTGAGGAGAATCCACTTCCAAGCTCACCCACAAGGCTGTTGGCAGAAGCCCTCAATTCCTCACCATGTGGGCCTCTCCTTAGGGTTGTTTCTGGCATGGAAGTTGACTTCCCCCAGAGCAAGTGATGAGAGGGACAGAGAGAGAGCATGCACATGAGAACAAACAGCCAGAAGTTGCAACATCTTTTATAACCTAATCTTGGAAGTGACATATCAACACTTTCTCCATGTTCACCGGTCAAAATGTGGGAGGGTGGGGACTACACAAGGGTGTGAATACCAGGAGGCAGGGATCAGTGGGGGCCATCTTAAAGGCTGGCTACACCACAGGTATCTAAATGCTCTCTCAAAATTAACACATCCTAACTCAGAACTTTACATCATCCCCCAAAATGCTCTTCCCTCAGTCTTCCCCACCTGAGTAAATGACAGCATCATTCACTCAGTTACTCAGGCCCCAAACCTTCAAGTCATCCTTGACTTTGTCCTACCCTCATGCGTTCCATCAGCAAATTCCGTGCATTCTGCTTTGAAAATATACACCAGATCTGCTCACCTTTTATCTGAGCAGAGACCTGAAGGAAGTGAGCAAATGGGCCTTGTGAGAATCTGGGAGATGGTTCCAGACAGGGAATAGCAAATGTGAAGCCCTGAGGTGTGAGGAAATGTGGGAAGTTGAAGACACAGATGAAAGGTCAGTGTGGTTAGAGTAAGTGAAGGGAAGAGAGTGGAGGAAAGGAAGTTGGACAAATGCACATTTGTGCAAGCCCCAAGGTGCAAGTACTTTTCAAGTCTCCACCTGTGTCACACTTGCTAATACTCCAGGGACCGAAGAGGCATGGCTAAGTCCAGATTGGAAGACAAATAATGTCCAAATATACAAAGTAAACCACACTTCAAGGGAGGGGCAGCAAAATCACAATAAATTATCAGCAAGTGTACGGGATGTAGTTCTTTGCAAGCAATTTACTCTACTTCCCTAACCCTTTATCAGCTCCTACTCATCTTCTGGTCTCAATCTAGAAATTACCTCTAAAAAGATTTTCCTGATCCCTAAAGCCTGAGTGAAAAACCTCAGGCATAACACCTTATTATTATACACATTACTCTCTTCACTAATATTACTCTGTTGCCACTGAATGAATGAATGCATTTATACAATAAATGTTGGACTTCCAATTCATTCAGATGAGTTGACTGTACTCACAATTTTATGGCAATGTAACATCAACCCTCCCTACACGACAGAAAGGTCACTGAAAAGGAGGGAGTATTGTGGTGTCTGTTTTATCTTTACTGCCTAGTACAGTACCTGATATAAAGTAGGTACTTAATATCTGTGAAATAAACCAACACATAGCTATAATAAAAGTAAACTGGGGTAACTGCCACTAAAAGAGAAGGCACAAAGAGTGTTCTCTGAGACCCCTGCAAGACTCAGCAGGCTGCAAATATTTAAGAAGATGTGAGACAGAATTAAACTAACTGAAATAAGACCAAAGTGCCCACCAGAGGAGAGAAAAGACAAGTAGTCAGAGAAAGCAAGACTTTCCTTTTTATTAGATTCACAATGCTATTTTAAAGTCCAACTTCTCTTTGAAAAACGTTTCTTTGCTATTAACTTCCTCATTGGAAAACAGACAAATCCTGTCCTTGAAGGATACATTTTCTACTTGGTACAGCGCTCAGTACTCAGGCCTGCATCTGTATGGTTTACCAGCAGCAATCAAGTCCAGCATCTCAGAGAGAAGCACTGTGAAGGCTGGGAGGTCACCAACCAGGGCTCCCCTACTGCATATATACATATATATGTACACACATACTTTTTTTTTTTTTTACAAAAATAATATAATAGGGCTTACACAGCTCTTTGAATTCTTTAAATTACATAGGCAAGGTCTATGCTTCAGTATAACCATTTTTTGCTTTGGATTAAAATGAGAATTTTAGGCCTAAAAATAGACTTCAGATTACTGAACAGAGGCCATATAGCAATACAGATTTAATAAATCTTGATCACCACATAACTAGAAATATGCTGCTATTATCCTTATGCTGGGTGCTATATATCTGCATCAATTATTTTCATTTTAGCTAAAACACAAAAGCAAAAGAGTTCACTGAAATAATCTTGTATTCATTACATTAGCACATATACCAAATTATACTAAGTGCATGATAATCTCTATGTTCCAAAGCTATATTTGTAGCATGTGCTCATCTCTACTCCATTAAATATAGTATCTAGCCAGCAATCACAAAAAAAGGAATGCACGCTGTACAGCAGGAGAAGAGAACAGTTTGCAGGGTGATATCTTACTGGCAACCAAAAACAAAGTAAGAGAAACAAACCTTACAAGATAAGATACAAAACTAATTTGCAGTGACATTTAATACATAGTTTTATCAGAAGGAATACATTTAGATCATAGTTACATGGAAAAACACATAAACTATGTGAAATTCTGAGTTTTCTCCTAGAATATTCAAAATACTCATCAAAAGTTAATTAGTACAATCAAGATGGCCACTAGATGATTGAATAAACAGAATGTCATTTAGTATTTCAAAAACACAGATTCTGGGAAAAGCAGCTACCAGCAAAATATCCAGAAATCTCAGTTAACAGACACTCTGTCTTGCATACCTGATACTAACAAATATAACAAGTGTGTTTACACAGACTATGAATGCAAGGCAATAGCCTACAGGATAGTCACAGGAAAGAATAAATGAGCACAATCCCACTGGAGCGAGTACAGAGAGCTCCTGCTGTTCTTCTGGTCCCTGCACATGCCCCACCTCCTGCCCCTGACCCCTGGTCAAACAAGGGCCATTTCTTTGGAGAAACAAATCTTTCAACAGCTCAAGCCCATTCTCTCTGACCCAACCAAGATACAACAGAGCCCAAGCATGGTGCTGGAAAGTCTTTCAGATGCTGGTATGATTCCTGATCATTGGACTGGACAGGTCCTCTTCACAGCCTCTCAAGTTCTGACTGGCACAACCTCCCTCCCTCAGAAGGGGTCAGCATGGTCTCTGAAGCCATAAATGAGGCGGCTCTAGAAGAATTAGAAGAAGGAGGTATCTGATGAAAAGGCACCTGCAAGTCTGAAATCCTCTTTGGTGAGAACACTGTACATGCGCTGAGGCAGAGCCCGGGAGTACGGAGCCGGGCGTGGCACGGTGGTGCGCAAAATGAGTTCCCGGCCAGCAGGGGGTGGGAAGTCTGACACGGAGTTCTGCCTTCTCTCTTCTGGAGAGCCCATTCGCTTCAGTTCCTCCTCCGGTGGAGCCATGGCTGCAGCCTTGAACAGAATCAAATGCTAAATTCAAGAGCAAGTCCAATGCTAAACTTAGATCATTTTGAAGGACAGATGAATAAACATGACAAATATATAAAAAAATGTTCTACGTTACTCAGTAATGCAGTCAGCCATGTTATGATTACTCAAAAACCAACAGAAAAAGCAAGAAGCTTGAAACACTGCATGAGCAGCCAGAGATTACAAATAAATTGGTGACAGAGACAAAAGAGATAATGACTGCCAGGCAATCTGCTTTGAAAAGTAAGGGCCATATTCCGACATCTGAAGAGGGAAAATGTAGCACTGGTTTCTACACATTTCTTCTAGCAACAACACACGTTCAAGTCTGATGTCCTCAGTCCAGTAAGGAGCTGCTTCTCCCCCAGAGTCTGGAAAGATGGTTTTTATCTCCACTCTTTCATTTCTTTTTAAAGTTCATTTGCCAAATTAAAACTGGGGACATTGGTTTTGTTTGCTGAGCAGCTAAGGTGATAAAGAAATGATAGAGGTCCATGTAATGTAGCAATGGCCACAAAAGAGAAATTCTCAATATTAAAGGCATCTATTTTTTTGCATTAAAATTGCATAAAAAACATTCAATTAGAGCCTTCATTTTAACCTTGATCACTATACTTCTTTCATTTCTCTATTAGATTTCTTTCACAATACCATCGATTTAGAAAAAAAAAAAGTACTGTTTTGGTAATGGAAATATGAAATCATGTTATACTAAACATCAGCATGAAAGGTATGCCAAATCCAGACTGTTAAAGAGGTGGTTAGTCTTAATGACCTTATGAAGTTAGAGGGATGGGAAGGAACAAGGAACTATGAGGGACAAAGGCTATTTTGTTACCTCATCAGAAGATTCAGTCAGCTTGAGAAAAGGTGAGAAAAGAAACAGTGATGAAAAGGAAACAAGCAAGATGGTTTAAAAAGGGCTAGACAAGAGATTTCAAGATCATTTCAGAGACGGCATGCACTACATTAAGGAACAGGATCCTATCAAAAGAATATCAAGACAGACACACACCACATAAAACACACCTAGCTGTTAAATTGAGCAGACATATCCTACTTCTCATGCACCTGATGGTTCAACAGGCAACGTACAGTGTCATTTAATGGGCAAAACTGATAAAACTGAAGCAAAATCCAATCTGTGGTTTATCTGCTGAATTCCAGTGGAATACACCACTGACACACGTAATCATGATGAAGTTTAAACAAAGAGTTCTAAATATGTAAAACTGCTGTATGCTATACAAAATTCTCACTGAAATTTCATTACTTTCTAAAAGAAGTGAAAATCTTGATTAGTAAAACTGATATAAAGTGTCAGTTAATTATGAAAAGTTACATATACTTTAATGGTTTACATCAACCAGACACTTAAGGTTTGAGTTCAAAAATGTACCAACCAGGTGCTTGTTTTATGGATTAAAGTCTGCCAATTCCCTAAAAACATTCCCTACAAGGTTTGAAAGTTTGAAATCTTTTACAATTACATAACGCAGGAAAAATGTACAATTTCACCCCTTAAAGGGTATTAGCTATTCAAGGCCACTGAAAAGATGATACACTCCTGTATTTATTAATGTAATAAGATAATTAAGTGGAACACAATAACAAAGTAAATCACAGAATATAATCCTATTTTTCTAAAATATATATTTATTTATATATACTACATGTCAAATGTTGACGGTGATCATCAGAAGGTAGTGAGATTAATGTGATTAAGTTTTACTTTATATTTTCTGTATTATCCTACATTTTACAATAAGCCTTCTAGGGGGCGGGGGGAGCTATTCCCATTCTGGGGGGCAGAGGGGAGCTATTTCCATTCTGGGAAATATAATTTTGCTTAAATATTCACAACAAGTAATACTCTCAGCATTAAAAATAAAAATGCTTTAGGGCGCCTGGGTGGCTCAGTTGGTTAAGCGACTGCCTTCGGCTCAGGTCATGATCCCGGAGTCCTGGGATCAAGTCCCACATCGGGCTCCCAGCTCAGCGGGGAGCCTGCTTCTCCCTCAGACCCTCTCCCCTCTCATGCTGTTTCTCTCTCTCTCTTTCTCTCAAATAAATAAATAAATAAAATCTTTAAAAAATAAAAAATAAAAAAAAATAAAAATGCTTTAGATTTCAAGTCCTCTTAACACACAAGTTTTTTAAAAGTGAGGACAGAGGAAAGAATATCAGCAATAGGAGGAAAATTCATTATTGGTGGTGACAAGGAAATGTGGTTGTTAGCTTTTGGCTAGTGAGCTAGTGAAAGATATAGGATGCAAAAAACAAACTTGGTTCCTGATTTCATGCCAGAGACAAAAACAAATCAAAGTAAGCATCTATTGTTTTCTAGAACTCTAATTTATAAGGAAATAAAATACTTGGTTTTTAACTTGAAATTCTTAAAGTTAGGGAACAATCCCATAAATAATCACAGGTTTCAATTCTTGCTAAAAATTCAGGTCAGTACATTTGGCTGTGAAACTGAATATATTAACTAGATATACTCCAGACAGACTCAAAGGAGATTATACAGTTTTTATTTCATATGTAAACCCATGAAAATTCTTATTGGATTCTGAGAATTACACTTTCAAAAGTGGGTCATTCTAGAGTCATCACAGTTCCAGGTAAAGGGCACCCTTGTACTTACATGTCTTCCTTTACTTACAATTGTGTTATATCCCAATAAACCCATCCTAAGTTGAAAATATCCTAAGTTGAAAATACATTTCCTACACCTAGCCTACCAAACATCACAGCTCAGCCTAGTCTACCTTACCTGAGCTCAGAACATTCACTTAAGCCTACAGTTGGGCAAAATCACCTAACACAAACCTTATTTTATAATAAAGTGTTGACTATCTCATGTAATTTATTAAATACTGTACTGACAGTGAGAAACAGAACGGTTTTCGGGGTAGAGTAGTTGTAAGTATATTGGCTGTCTGCCCTTGGGGTCTCATAGCTGACAGGGATCTGCCCCTGCCCAGCACCATGAGAAGATTATGCTGCATATACCGCCAGCCCAAAAAAAGATCAAAATTCAAAATTCAAAGTATGGTTTCTACTGAATACATATTTTTTTTCCTCCATCATAAAGTTGAAAATCCTAAGTCAAATTATTGTAAGTCAGAGACTGTCTGTATTACACTCTATAATATTTTTATCATAATCTCTCACATAATGAGCGCTGACATGAAAATCCTCTTAACCAGTAAACAAGATCAGTACAGAAAGTATCCACACAAAGTGTAACTATAACTAGCATCACCTCCATAAAAATTCAAATTTTAAGAGTTTCAGAATGTCAGAAAGTACTACATATCTTTTGAACCTTTACTTTCAGTAGTAGAGGTAATGGCAAAGATAATTATTCAAACTGGGCTTGCTTTCTGTGCTAAAGCCTGTTTCCATAGTCCTAAACATCTGAAATCTTGCTCTTCCTTAGATCAATGCACCATGACAAAAATAGACTAACTTCACAAGTGAAACTGTGAATCCATTTGTAGTACATGGAGTTTAAAATTGGTAAAACTGAACTCTATTCTAATATGAAAGTAGTCAACATTTTTTCCTACCGCACAGCACTGGCCATTGCTAACACCGAGTCCCTGTTAGATTCTGGAACAATGGATTTCAGACCCTTCTGGGTCTGGAAATTTATATCCTAAAATATACTTATTATTTTACTTAAACATGTAAGAAAGCAAATGGATTTCAAAGACTCAAAAGTCACTGTTGAAAGTCACTGTGTTTTTTTTAATGTTCAAACCCAATGCCCAGACTTACACTCAGCAGCTATATAACCAGCTAAGTGTGGGAATCAAAACAGCATCTTCCTGAGGAGAGGTCTGAAGAGATCATGATCAGTCAGTAAGGGAATTCACATACCCTGTGAGCATTCACGAACAGCTTGTGAATGATTCTGCCAGCATGGCCTCTTCCTGCACCCACGACTAACACTTCAGGCTGCTCCAAAAGGCAACTCACAAACCTGGGGGAGAAAGGTAATGAAAGGACAGAAAGCGAGCTGCTCAGTTCACACTGTGCCAGTCCTCCCAAATTAATTCTGTAGACAAACTCTCAAACCGATACTGGCTAAACCTACTAAGGCTAGAGTGGAACTTTTATAACAGAGGGACATTTGGAATTAAAATAGACTCAAATGACAATCTTACTGCCTTTCAACTGTTTTCATAAAATTTTCCTAAAAATCTCGTATCTGGGGATGGCTGGGTGGGGCTCAGTTGGTTAAATGCTGGACTCTTGATTTCAGCTCAGGTCATGACTTTAGGGTCATGAGATCAAGCCCTGTGTTGGACTCTGCATTCAGTGGGAATCTGCTTGGATATTCTCTCCCTCTGCCCCTACCCTACTCTCACGCCCCTCTCTCTCTCAAATAAATAAATAAATCTAAAAAGAAAAAAAAAAACACCTCACCTCTGTCAAAGGGGAAAAAGAAATATTGAGTCTATTTCTTTCAGACTAGCTTAGAAAATACTACAGTAAATAAAAGATTAAAACAGTATTTTGGGGGATGCCTGATTGGCTCAGTCAAGTTAAGCATCCGACTCTTGGTTTTAAAAGCTCAGGTCATGATCTCAGGGTCATGAGATCGAGCCCCACATTTGGCTCTGCTCTGTGTGAGGAGTCTGCTTAAGATTCTTTGCCTCTGCCCCTACCCCTGCTCGTGCTTTCTCTCTCTCTCTCTCTCTCTCTAAAGTAAATGAATAAATAAAATCTCAGAAACAAAACAAACAGTATTTCTGGACAACAAAAACCAATTTATATATATACAGCAAAGCAATAATCCATATCTCTCATTATTTGTTCTTTTAAAGTGGGTGTGTATGTGTGTGTGCATGCATGTGTGCTTAAAATACACAATTTTTCTGGGCAAAGCCTCAACTGTGCCATTATGTGCTGGAAACACTACACCTCCAAGTACACCCCAGAGAATGTATGTGCAGCTATCAGAGTCAAAGGCACCACGCCTGCACCACTAATTCATACTGCTATTTTAGAAACGATTCCCTTGATTAGTACTTACTCTTCTCATTTAAAAAGGAAGGAGTTTTCAAGAGCAAAGAAGCCTAGGAGAAAATTTCACTCAACACAAGATATAAAATTCTAACAAGAACTTGTTAAGAGCTATATAGCACATGCCTTGTCATATTATCTTAATTATTTAGCATCAATAATGACATTTCATTTCCGAAAAGGCTGATGAAGAATTTAAAGTTATGATAAATTCAAGTTGCTGAAGTAACAAATTTGGAAATACTTTATCACAATTAAAATAACATTGTCCTTTCAAGTACCACAGGCAAAAATGGCAGGGACTCATACTGACAGGTAATGGCGTCGTCTCTCTCAGGAGGAGGAAAAGATTGACCCGGTCATCTGTATCATCCTGGAGAGGCCATCTGGTCACTCTTTCAAAACATGTTCACAAAGTGCACAGGATATGCACCTTTGCTTTCAAAAGTATTGTTTAAAGTTAAATAAATAACTGAGCAGAAATACAATTTCAGAACACCTCAGACTGTGGTAAAGGAACAGTGAGAGCTAAGCAAAGAGAGAAAGCAAAGCTCTGGGGCATTTCACGTAACAAAGAGCGACTAGCTCTTCCACAGGGAACTGTAGGCACATCTCCAAGAGCAAACAAGGACACTAGAAAAAAAGACCTGGTAGACTTGTTTCTAAATGTGGAAGGAATGGAAATGCCTCGCAAATACCCAGAAATATAGGAGAGGTCAAAGTCTATAATAATTATTTTTCTGTCTCTAGCTGATGCTTGTTACAAATAAAATAGGTAGGTACCACAAAAGAATCTCAATATTCTATTAAAATGTTCTAAAGAGAGTGGTGGCTTTTCCTACTGCAGACAAAAGTTACTCAAATATCAATTACCTTTCAAGATCTTCTTTTTCCTCCTCTTGTTCACATTTCTCAGTTCCAAACTTGGCTTTCAGTGAGCGGGCTCTGGCAATTATAGCTTCTACATTAGTAATTTGATGGATGATTTCCTAACAGTGGAAAAGAGAGAGACACACATTGGAAAACAGCAAAAAAAAAAAAAAAGGCAGCCTTTTAAAAAAATGTATCTTTAAAATAATCAGTGCCAACTAGTGAGAACATTTGGCAAGATCCTGACACCATAGCAAACTTACTTCCAATTTCTTGTCTTCTGGATTGGGGAAGTGCAAAACTTTACTGGAATGGGTTATTATCTGCTTTATAATCTTCTTAACTGAAGAAATGTTTTCCAGATTTTCTATTTTTAAGAAGATCAAAGCCATCATTAAATAAGTCAGGCAAAATATACTTTCATTTTGGAAATGAACTAATGACTAACGAAATAAGACATTTACCTTCTTCCTTTACCTTGAGTACAGCTGCGTGAATTACACAAGGTAACAGGTGTCGAGCGAGGTCTGCAGGTTTCTGTACGGCCAGATAGTGCAGCACCTGAAGGAGACACAAAGTTACATGAATGATCAATGTAGCTGTCAAAGAATAAAGTAGCCATTTATGAACGAAGAAAAAAAATCCTCTGCACCACTGAACTCACATCTATAACAAGAGCTGAGAAGAGCTCTCTTCTCTTGGTACTTTGCCCTGCTCATCCAGGTTAAGTAGCTACTACCCACAATAGTAAGAATAACGTTACTGAAAACTAACAAGGATTTTAGAATTTTATAGTGGTGACTATGCAATTTTGTTCTTCTTTCCAGTATGTAATACATGCAAATTAGGAAAATACAAAGAAAACAAGAACCATCTGTAAATTATACCACCGAGAGATAACAATTGTTAATGCTGGAAGATTCTCATTCTGGGATTTTTTTAAGACACTGAATACAGACATTAGGTAAACGAATATTAAGTATGTAAAATACTGTTTTGTAACCTGCTTTACTCACTTAACATTTCTAAACATTGATGGAGACCTTCCACTAATTTTTTGGTTTATCGTTTTTCCAAAATGCAAATTGCTTTGTTATTGTTCTAATTTAAAAAATACAGAGAAGTTATGTATAACACATGGACCCTACCTTTAAGCTCCTTATTCAACAGCAGTAAAGATAAAAGAAATCTCATCTCATTACGTGAACCTGGATGATAAATGGTCACAGATCTCCGAAAAGAATGAACGAATGAATGCATGCATACATACATAGAGTATAATGCAAAAACTCTCCAGAAATCCTACTTCCTAAGAAGCAACACATTTTTGTGTTTATCTTCTCAGGCTTATTTCTATGTCCATTTAAACACAAAGATATAGGCATATTCCAATTTCTTAACAAAAAACTATAATATAATATACATACTATTTTATAACTTGCTTTGTTCATTTAATGACTTATAACCTTTACTTTTGGCTTGGAGAATTTTGTGTGGTTTGAAAATTTTTTTTAATTAAGAAATACACATACCAGAGTATTAATAAATAACTTAAAGACAGCATGAACACTTGTTTACACACCACCAACCAGCTTAAGAAACAGAACATCACTAGCACTTTCCAAATCCCCGTGTGCCTCCCTGATCAAGTCTCCTCCCTCACACACCCCACCATCAGTAAGTGACTACTAATCATTCTTTTGCTTGTCGACAGAGTTTTCTCACATATGTGTATAGCCCCAAACAATGTATTGCTTAGTTTGGTCTGTCCTGAATCTTTATATAAATGGAATGTTTCTGGTTCCGACCCTCAGTGACTTGTATACAGCATTCTTTTAGAGATGCATATGTTGATACATACTGTAGTTTATTCATTTTCACTCTATATTAAAATGTTCCTCCACTGATGGACAACCCCCCGCCCCCCCCCATTTTTGGCTATTACAGATAAGGTCCCTGTTTTATTATTGGGTATGTTTCCTGGTGTACATGCAGAGGAATTTCTTGAGGGCATATACCGAAAAACAGAACTGGATATATACAAGAAAATGCCAAACAATTATTTTTTTGTATTAAAGTCATATTCCAAATTATTTTACAAAGTGTTTCAAAAGAGTTACATCCTTATCTAGAGTAATAATAGTTCCCAGTGTTGTACATCTCTGCTAACACTTACTATTCAACTTTGGTTTTCCTTAACTTAAAACCAAACAAATCTGCGAGAAGACAAAATATATCTATACCCTTTGCCTAGACTCACCTTTTACCTCATTTAATCACACCCATCTCTTTCCTCTGTATGTGCATACGATATATTACACACACACATTTTTTTCTGAGTAATGTGAGAGCAAGTTACATACATCATGTCCTTTTACCCCCAAAGATCTCGGTGTGTATTTCCTGAAATTAAGAATGTTTTCTTATATAATCAAAAGACAAACTATTGTGATTATATAAACTACCTTTAACACTGATCAAATACTTTTAATCTAGCCTACTTTCCCTTATTGCAATTTCATCAATAGACCAAATAATGATTTTTATAACCTTTTCCCACCCACCATACAGGATCTAGTTAAAGATCATACACAGCATTTAGTTTTCATACTTCTTTAATCACAACAAATCTGGAAGTTTTCCAGTCTGTCTTTTATAACATGGACATTTTGAGTACAGTGCCCTCCCCTCCCCTTTCTGAATAACTGAATTCCATGCTTTATTCATATTTTCTTAATTTTAAAAAATTTAGATACAATTTATATACCATAAAATTCACCACTTTAAAATATACACTTCAGTGGTCTTTAGCATACTTACAAGTTATACAACATCACTATTATCTAATTGCAGAACATTTTAATCACACCAAGAAGAAACCCATTACCCGACAGCAGTCACTCCCTCATTTCTCCCAGCTCCTAGCCCCTGGTAACTACTAAACTAACTTTCTGTCTTCATGAATTTGCCTATTCTGGTATTTCATATAAATGGTATCACGTTACATGTAGCATTCTATTTCTGGTTTCTTTCACTTAACATAGTACTTTTAAGGTTCCTTTGTGTTATACCATGTATCAGAACTTCACTTATTTTTATGGCTTAATAATATTTCATTGTATGAATATGCCGTGCTTTACTTATCCATTCATCAGTTGATCGATATTTAGCTTGGTTTCACTTTTTTGCTATTATGAATCATCCTGTCAATATCTGTATATTCAATCTCCTCAGTTTTTATTTAATGTCCTTTTCCTATTCCAGGATCCCAACCAGGATACCACATTATATTTAGTAGTCATATTTCTAGGCTCCCCTCACATGTGACACTTTCTTACACTTTTCCTTGTGTTTACTAACCTTGACAGGTTTTTTTTTTTTTTTGAGATTTTATTTATTCATTTATTTAAGAGAGAGAAAAAGTGAGTGTGGAGCTCAACACAGGGACCCTGAGATCATGACCTGAGCAAAAATGAAGATTTGGGCGCTTAACCAACTGAGCCACCCAGGTGCCCCTGACTTTGACAGTTTTAAGGAATTCTTGTCAGGTATTTTGTAAAAAGTGCCTCAACTGGAACTCACTTAATGTTTTTCTCATGGTCAAACTGGGGTTAGGAATTTTGGGGAAAAGATGAGAGAGTTATAAAGTGATACTTTCATCACCTCATATCAAGAGTACATGAAACTCATCAATATTGACTTATCCATGTTGCTAACCTTGCTTACCTGGCTAAGACAGTATTTGTCTGGTTTCTGTACTGTAAGGTTACTCATTTTCCCCAATTTCCATACTGCACTCTTTGGAAGGAAGTCACTATGCACAGTCCATGCTTACACAGTGAGGAGTTCTGCTCCATCTCCTTGTGGGCAGAGCAGGTTTGAAGTTCTTCTGCATCGATTTGTTTCTTCTCGCCAATTTATTCAATCATTTATTTGTAACAGTATAGACTCAAGGATGTTTATTTTATACTTTAAGTTACAGTCCAACGGTACTTTATTTTGTTGCTCATACTGTTCTAGTATTGGCCACTGGGTAATGTTTCAATTGATTCCTGTGTCCCTTTAATATACTCCTAGAATTGTGTGTTGTGGATTGGTTTTTTTCCAGCTCTTTTTTAGAACAGAATGTTTCTCATTTTGGGTTTACCTAATGCTTCCTCATGTTTAGATGCAGAATATGTACTCATGGGTCAGTGCATAAGTGCTGTTGGATCCTTCAGAGTATCACATCTCGATGCAGACAATCTGCATCTATCCCTTATTAGTAATACTAGTTGTGACCATCCATTCAAGGTATTGCCCCATTTCTCTACTACATAGTTATTATTTCCTTGCAATTCTCCAGCTGTCTTGGAGAGACACTTTAAAGTCATGCAAGTATGATGCTCTTCACCCAGATTTCCACCTAGACATCTACTGATGATTCTCACCTGAACCAATCTTTACTCTGAATATGGTCGTAAAATGAAGAGTTTCCTACTTCAGCATACCCTCCCTATTTATTGGTCATCTTTGAGCTGAAATGCCTCCCTTCTCTCCCATTTCTTTATCTGCAAATTGTCAATGGGGACCCATGGGTTCCGATTTTTTCCCAAAAGTTTAGAATTCATTACTGTCCTTAGTTTTTTGCCATTCAAATTGTCCAGATTTGGCAATTAAGAGTCCCTTCAAACTACCTCCTTATGATATACCCCTATCTTCTTTTAAGCAGTTCCTTATTTTCTGGCAACATATAATGTTCCACACTCATACCTTCCTTGTCCCAATTCTGAAATCAGCCATTTCTGAGGAAAGCATGGTCCCTTTTAATGAGGAATGTTCTAGAAATCAATATATATGTGTGTTCACTGCTACTGAGATGTCACTGTTTCTAGACCCCTTCAGAAAAAAGCTAGGAAATATATATTATTATGCCTATGTACATACCCACATTATCTATCCATACTTTAGAAACCTATGGGTCCACACCAATACCGCCATTTCCAGTGCACTGCCATTTGGTCTTCCTTGCTTTCCTCAATTCCATGTTTGCATCTGACTTCTACAGTGAGAATTCTGGCTTCCAACACCAACACATTTAATTACTCATTTAATCAAACAATAATCCACCTAGAAGTTTCAGAATTGCTTACCCAACACCACTACAAAAAACAAATCTAGAAAAGAGTTTAGGATTTGTTTGCAGTGCTCTCCCACCTCTCCCCATACCTGGGGGTATACAGTCAAACATATTTTATGTGATCATAAATTACTGAATTAGATCCTCCTCCTAACTCTGACCCCATTTCAGTGTGGTTATGTTATTCATTTAAAATACACCTGGACAGGTGGTTAAGTGTCTGCCTTCGGCTCAGGTCATGATCCCAGGGTCCTAGGATTGAGCCCCCCATCGGGCTCCTTGCTCAGCGGGGAGCCTGCTTCTCCCTCTGCCTGCTCTGCCTGCCGATCCCCCTGCTTGTGCTCTCTCTCTGACAAATAAAATCTTAAAAAA